TCCGACTAAAAACGTCGGAAAATTCCCGCAGTAGTGTTTTAAGTTGTTGACGCTCTGAATCTGACAGGTCCGTCGATCCCGCACAAAGCGCCTCGAGCCACTCTTCATCGCTGTCCGAATGCGGTCGCGGCGCAGGGACAACGCTGACGTGATTTGCGACGGTTTCCTCACATGGCACCGGCGTTGCGTGAGCAAGCACGGTTCCCTGTGGGACCACCACCGTCTGCGAACCCACATTGAGGACCGCGATGAAGGGTTCACCGTCCCCTCTTACTATGGTCTGGGCTGGAAGTAAATGAGGTCCACTAACCCCGGTCCTAGACGGCCCCAGCAGAACCCCTTGGGCCGCAATACCCTTAGCGAAGGGTCGCCGAAGTTTCAAGGGAATCAACATTTGTGCCCCCGGAGGGACGCGCACCGTTCTCTCTACGAATGCCGGCACCGTCGCGAACGCCGTCCGAGTCGTAACGGGTGATGGCAAAAACGCCATGCGTCTGCCCGACGGGAGCTCAATGCATCTCTGGTCGATTAATATCCTAATCGGCATTTTGGCCAGGAAGTCCGTCCCCAGCAGGCACGGAACCGCCAGCGAGGAGGAAACAAAAATCGGCCCAGACAATTTAATTTCCCCAACACAAATTTGGGCCCGAATTTGTCCGATGATGCCAAGTGAGCCCCCGTTAGCCGCATAGAATGGTACGTTAACAGGCATCAAAGGACGGCTCTGGACAGGGAGAATATTGTAAATTAACTCCGAAATAATGGTCGCCGATGCCCCCGTATCGACCAGGATGCGCACCTCAACCCCGTCGATGTGCCCCACAACGGCCGACGACCCCGACGATGCGGCTACCACACGATCGGCCAGCACGGACCACTGGCCGGGTTCGATATGAGTACCCAGAGTGGTGCGTGATGGTGCGATGGTGCGCGATATCGGCCCCCCTCTCGTTGCGGTGTTTGAGTGCGTGACGGGCGTGTGCGTGGGCCAAACATGTGGGGTGTCGCGACTCGCCGGGTTATGATGGTGGAGCTTGTGATGAGGCCCGTCGTCCCGTTGAGGTGTCGTCCCGCGCTGACGAGGAGAGCGGCACCCAGAGGCGACGTGGCCCCGGATGCCGCAGTTAAAACACCGCGGGAGCGCCGTCGGAGGTGACGGATGGTCGGAACGGCCCGACCCGTCCCGGCCCGACCGTGCTCCCGTCGCCTGTTGCCGTCGGTGGTCGACGGCGTAGAGCTCCTCCGTCGGAAGGGTGGCTGCAGCCACCGCACGCCCCGCCGATGCCCTGCTGGCTTTCCGCCGGAGCGACAGGAGGTTGGCGTGGAGGAGCCTTGCCGCCTGGAGCGATGTCATCTCCACGTCCTCCTGTGCGACGACAGCGATGTCAAGGTCGTCTGCCAGGAGGAGGATTTTCTCCGTGACCATAGCGTCCACGCCGTCGTCGTCCTATACGAGGGAAGGCCGACTTAGCCATTGCCAGGAGGCTCGTCCGGTATGCTAGGGGCGACTCCTTCTCACCACGCTTGCGGTCGTAAAATTGCTGTCGGCATTCAGCTGATGGTCCATAGACCCCGCCCAGCAGCTGTAGCGCCATCGGTAACGTAGACCGCTTCTCTCTCGGCGCCGATGTGAGGGCGGCGAGCGCGTCGCCGTCGAGGAGCGCCGGCAGCGCGCAGAGAGCCTCCTCATCGGACCATTTCGCCATCTCCTGATGGGCGAGGAAACGTCGGCGAAAACCGGCCCAGTCTCCCTCCGCGCCGATGAACTCCTTCAGCGGGGGCAGTCTCTGATGAAGCGCAGCAGTTGTTGTAGACTCCCGCAGGCTGATGTCACCACCACTCGGCTGTGCGTCGGTGCGAACGGCCGATGGGATCGCCTGTCGCGGTTGTGATGACGCACCCTCCGGCGGTGATGACGCTGCAGCTCCAGCGACGGCGATGTCGGAGCGGATGTTCAGGCTGGCCACGCCCTGAAAAGCTGTAGCGTCGATGGCGGGAATTTCAAATTCGGACTGCTCCGAAATGGCGGGAAGGCGCCCTGGTCGTTGGCTCGCCTCGCCCCGTGTTGGATCACCGGCCCCCAATCGCGTGATGGTCTCCAGCGTGGCAGCAGCGGCATACAGCAGCTCCGCCAGCCTCCCGTGAGCCAGCCGTAACGCGTCTGGCTGCGGCCCCTCTTCATTTCGATGCCCCGGTAAGGAGGCGTCAGGCCCCGGCTGCACCATGTCTTGTGGAGCCGTCTCGGGCTCGACGATCTCGGCAGTGTCTTCCTCCTGCGGTACTTTGGCCCGCGCTGTTTTCCGCGTGTCCATGTTCGAATTACTTCTGACACCAGTTGAAGTACCGGTGAGGACGCTTGACGCCGAGGTTGAGGCACACGTATATTTATTTCACAATACGACAGTGGGCATATACACACTCGAGGGGGTATCGGCCCCCTCACCCGTATAACTCGGGATACACCCCTAGCTAACTCTGTCCTAGCCCTGAATCCTCCACTAATGGGCTAGGGGAGGCTAACTGGCCCGACACTGGTAAGTCGGGCCCGGTACCCGGAGTTCCAGACCAGCTCTTACAAGAGCACCGGCTCTGGCTTTCGGGACCACGCCGCTGGCTCAGTCCTGTCCGGCCCTGAAAAGGACATCGAACTAGGGGAGTCCAGGGCTCTATCTAAGACGTCTTCAGTCTTCTTCCCTTAGCTTAAACATAACTGACTCGAGCCCTTTGAACATCCCCTTTTATACCCAACCCCTCCCTGAGGGGTGGGGCCCCGGGGGATCATAACGTTCGAACCAGCCCCCCCCCAGGGTGTCTGGCTCGGACGTCGTAGAGGGCACCTCCTCGTGCACTTACGTAGCCCCGCCCACTGTGTTTGTTTTCCATAGGCTGCCATGCATAACGGGCCCTCTCTTGAACATCCCTACATATGTAAAGAGCTCATGAATCACTATGGGAACCTCCTTTGCCAGTCTTTGAGTTGTGCGCCTTTTGGCGTCATCTGGTCCAACCCATGTGAGACTAGGCTCTAAGGAAAGCTGTCTCGGGTGTGGACCAATCAACTTCAAGGACAGTGCACATTATCAGAGTTATGTCTTTTGTTTGTATTATGACTGCAGGTATTGCGGTCTATGCAAACATGATTCCTTGTAAAAAGGTGTCAGTTTTGTTGCCAGATAGAAGGGTAAACAACCAATTATCATATTTTTACTGGCAAATGAGGTTCCCATAGTGTAGATCCTTGCCCCGAGCTCTCATACTCTGATGGTACATTGTCTTTGAGTTGTGCGCCTTTTGGCGTCATCTGGTCCAACCCATGTGAGACTAGGCTCTAAGGAAAGCTGTCTCGGGTGTGGACCATCAAGTTCAAGGACAATGCACATTATAAGAGTTATGTCTTTTGTTTGTATTATGACTGCAGGTATTGCGGTCTATGCAAACATGACTCCTTGTAAAAAGGTGTCAGTTTTGTTGCCAGATAGAAGGGAAAACAACCAATTATCAGCTCATAAATCCTTGAAAGATCTGGACACATTCCCATCGGTGAACTCATCCGGCAGGCAAGTCTGCATTGGCTGGGTCATGTAGCCTGCATGCCCAGCCACCGCATGCCTAAACAGCTGACTTACAGTATCCTGGAGTCTACAAATTGAGTTGCATTTGTGGTGATTGCTACATTAGAGAAACGAAACGTCATGTTTCTGATCGTGTCCGCGAGCACAAGTCAGATCTGAAACACGGCAGAACTGATTCCTCGGCCGTTGCCGATCATTGCTACAACTCGGTGGGCTCTCATGAAATTGTATTTTCCGAGACCAAGGTTCTCTGCAAACCTCCTGGCTACCATCAAAGGTTTGTACACGAAGCCATACAAATATACAAACACAGACATAATTTCAACCGTGATGACGGTTACAAACTGAGTAATCATTGGAAAGATGTGATTAACCATGCAAAAAAGATTTAACTACACTTATTTGCTAATCTTATTTGACAGACAACCATCACAGTTTTACCATGTTTAGTGGTGGTCTCCCTGTTACAGTTTGAGTCACAAACCGCACCTCTCCATAACAAAGGCTCAGCCTTTGTAATGCAGTCTATTCTTAGTCTTAAGCCTCACCTTACCATATTAATAAAAGTATGCGGCCCTTGCTCCACCACCTCCAACCATCATATAAACGTAGTGGTAGCTTCCGAAATCTCTCATTTACTTGATACAGCTGTCGTGGCTGTGACGGTACCACCTGAAGACGGAAGCTTGTGTTGCCTCCGAAACGTCGTGATTTTTATTTTATTTTACTTTTTAATGTTTTTACCTACGTGACTTTACCGAAAAAACCTAAGAATATGAATCATTGCAGTCATGAAAGCTTCAAATCTAGAATTAAACAGCTTTTGTTCGGCAAAATAGAGCTACTGGGCAGTTGGAGGCAGTCGCCCTCCAACAACAACGGAGGGCGGAGGAGCGACGCTCACAGCAATGAGCGGAGCGCCGGGTGGCTAAAGCACAGCAGGTTGGCACAGTAGGGGGCACAGGTGGTGCATTAACCAGTCATCTCAGTCAGTCGACGCGTGGCACCTGGGTCTGCCCCGTGACCTCCTGTCAGCAGCGAGCCTTTGACACTTCACGTGGCCTCAAAGTGCACCTAGCCTGGCATAGGCGCCGTGGTGACGTCACCGTCACTTAGTGGCGAATGGTGCAGCCATTGGTGTTGGTGATGGTGCTGGTGTTGTTGGTGATGGTAGTGGTAATTGATGGTGGTGATTGTGATGATGGTGGTGGTGGTAATGATGATGGTGATAATGGTGGTGGTGATGGTGATGATGGTGATGATGGTGATGATGGTGATGGTGGTTCTGGTGTCGATGGTGGTGATGATGGTGATGATGATGGTGGTGATGATGGTAATGATGATGATGGTGGTCGTGGTCGTGACTATAGTGGTGGTGGTGGTGATGGTGGTGATGATGATGATGGTGGTGGTGGTAATGATACTCACCTTCGATTGATTTAAGATTGCATTAAGCCTCTCAGTGGTGACGTTAGTGGTGGTACCTGCGGACGGTTATCAATGGGACAGGGTCAGGATTGGGATCGAACCCACGACCTCTTGCGTACCAGGCGAGGTAGTCAACATCTCCTAGCCACCGTGGGCGTCAGGGTCCGCGATCGAACCCACGACCTCCTGCGCACCAGGCGAGGTAGTCAACATCTCCTGGCCACGGTGGGCGTCAGTGTCCACGATCGAACCCACGACCTCCTGCGAACCAGGCGAGGTAGTCAACATCTCCTGGTCACGGTGGGCGTCAGGGTCCGCGATCGAACCCACGACCTCCTGCGCCCCAGGCGAGGTAGTCAACATCTCCTAGCCACCGTGGCGTAAGGGTCTTTGATCGAACCCACGACCTCCTGCGCACCAGGCGAGGTAGTCAACATCTCCTGGCCACCGTGGCGTTAGGGTCCGTGATCGAACCCACGACCTCCTGCGCACCAGGCGAGGTAGTCAACATCTCCTGGCCACCGTGGCGTTAGGGTCCGTGATCGAACCCACGACCTCCTGCGCACCAGGCGAGGTAGTCAACATCTCCTAGCCATGGTGAGCATCAGGGTCCTGGATCGAACCCACGACCTCCTGCCCCCGGGGCGAGGTAGTCAACATCTGATAACCCCCCCTCCCCATCTCTCACCACGTACCGTTGATGTTGAAGTCCCGGATGACCGGAACTCCGGCCGCTATTAAAGCGTCAATGGCCAAGGAGGTCAAGTTGGTGACCTCGGATTCGGTGAGGCTGTAGCCACTCACGTTCACGGATGCCAGGACACTGCCGGGCCTGCAACGGCGGGGAGAGAGAGACATGCGGGGAGTGGGTGAGTGGGTGGGTGAGTGAGTGGGTGGGTGGGTGAGTGAGTGAGTGAGTGGGTTAGTGAGTGGGTAGGTGGGTTAGTGAGTGGGTAGGTTGGTGAGAGAGTGGGTGTGTGAGTGGGTTAGTGAGCGTGTAGGTGGGTGAGTGAGTGGGTAGATGGGTGAGTGAGTGTGTAGGTGGGTGAGTGAGTGGGTGAGTGAGTGGGTTAGTGTGCGTGTAGGTGGGTGAGCGAGTGGGTAAGTGGGTGAGTGAGTGGGTAGGTGGGTGAGTGAGTGGGTAAATTAATGAATGGGTTAGTGAGTGAGTGGGTAGGTGGGTGAGTGGGTGGGTGAGTGAGTGGGTTAGTGAGTGAGTGGGTAGGTGGGTGAGAGGGTGAGTAGGTGAGTGGGTGAGTGGGTGGGTGGGTGAGTGAGTAGGTAAGTGGGTGGGTGAGTAGGTGAGTGGGTGGCTGAGTGGGTGAGTGGGTGGGTAGGTGAGTAGGTGAGTGGGTGGGTGAGTGGGTTAGTAAGTAGGTAGGTGGGTGAGTGGGTGAGTTGGTGGGTGAATTGGTGGGTGAGTGGGTGAGTGAGTGAGTGGGTTCGTGAGTGGGTAGGTGGCTGAGTGAGTGGGTGATTGGGTGAGTTGGTGGGTGGGTGAGTAGGTGAGTGGGTGGGTTAGTGGGTGGGTGAGTGAGTGAGCGGGTTAGTGATTTGGTAGGTGGGTGAATGAGTGGGTAGGTAGGTGGGTTGGTTAGTGAGTGGATGAATGAGTAGCTGGGTGAGTGTGGTAGGAGGTAGGCAGATGAGTGAGTCGGTGGGTGATTGGTTGGGTGGGTAGGTGAGTGAGTTAATGGCTGGATGGGTTATTGAGTTAGTGAGTGTGTTAGTTAGTGAGTGGGATAGTGAGTGGATGAGTTGGTAAGTGAGTGAGAGAGTGATTGAACGTGTGATAAAGTAAGTGGGTGATTGAGTGAATGGGTGACTGAGTGGGTGAGTTAGTGGTGGTGTGGGTGGGTGAGTGAGTGGGTGAGTGAGCGAGTGATTGGGTAGGAGAGTGTGTGAGTGGGTGAGTGGGTGGGTGAGTGGGTGAGTGAGAGGATGGTTGAGTGAGTGAGTGGCTGGGTGGGTGAGTGATTGATTGAGTGGGTGGATGGGTGGGTGAGTGAGTGGGTGAGCGAGTGAGTGTGTTAGAAGGTGAGCGGGTTAGTGAGTGGCGCAGTAGTTAGGAAGGGGAGCGATTGGGTGATCGGTTTGGTGGGTGAATTCATTAAAAAGTGGATGGGTTAGTGAGATAGTGAGTGGGGTAGTTAGTGATGGGGTAGTTGAGTGGGTAAGTGAGTGAGAGAGTGATTGAACGTGTGATAGAACAATTGGGTGAATTAGTGAGTGGGTGATTGAGTGAGTGTGCGATTATGTGAGTGGGTGAGTGGTCTATGGTGCAGTGTTGGGTCTCAATGCTGAGTCTATGATGCAGTGTTATGTCTTTGGGTAGCATTGCTGAGTCTCTGGGTAGCAATGTTGAGTCTATGGGTAGCATTGTTGAGTCTCTGGGTAGCAGTGTTGAGTCTATAGGAAGCAGTGTTGAGTCTATGAGTAGCATTGTTAAGTCTATGGTGCAGTGTTGAGTCTCAGTGCTGATTCTATGGTGCAATGCTAAGTCTATGGTGCAGTGTTGAGCCTATGGGTAGCAGTGTTGAGTCTATGGTGCAGTGTTGAGTCTATGGGTAGCAGTGTTGAGTCTATGGTGCAGTGTTGAGTCTATGCGTAGCAGTGTTGAGTCTATGGTGCAGTGTTGAGTCTATGGGTAGCAGTGTTGAGTCTATGGTGCAGTGCTGAGTCTATGGTGCAGTGCTGAGTCTATGGTGCAATGCTGAGTCTATGGTGCAGTGTTGAGTCTATGGGTAGCAGTGTTGAGTCTATGGTGCAGTGTTGAGTCTATGCGTAGCAGTGTTGAGTCTATGGTGCAGTGTTGAGTCTATGGGTAGCAGTGTTGAGTCTATGGTGCAGTGTTGAGTCTATGCGTAGCAGTGTTGAGTCTATGGTGCAGTGTTGAGTCTATGGGTAGCATTATTGAGTCTATGGTGCAGTGTTGAGTCTATGGTGCAGTACTGAGTCTATGGTGCAGTGTTGAGTCTACGGTGCAGTGCTGAGTCTATGGTGCAGTGCTGAGTCTATGGTGCAGTGCTGAGTCTATGGTGCAGTGTTGATTCTATGGTGCAGTGCTGAGTCTACGGTGCAGTGCTGAGTCTACGGTGCAGTGCTGAGTCTACAGGTGCAGTGCTGAGTCTATGGTGTAGTGTTGAGTCTATGGTGCAGTGTTGAGTCTATGGGGAGCAGTGTTGAGTATGTGGACATTGTTGACTCTTTGTGCAGTGTTGAGTCTATGGGTAGCAGTGTTGAGTCTATGGTGCAGTGTTGAGTCTATGGGTAGCATTGTTGAGTATATGGTGCAGTGTTGAGTCTATTGTGCAGTACTGAGTCTATGGTTTAGTGTTGAGTCTACGGTGCAGTGCTGAGTCTATGGTGCAGTGCTGAGTCTATGGTGCAGTGCTGAGTATGGTGCAGTGCTGAGTCTATGGTGCAGTGCTGAGTCTATGGTGCAGTGCTGAGTCTATGGTGCAGTGTTGAGTCTATGGTGCAGTGTTGAGTCTATGGGCAGTGCTGAGTCTTTGGGCAGTGTTGAGTCTATGGTGCAGTGCTGAGTCTATGGTGCAGTGCTGAGTCTATGGGTAGCAGTGTTGAGTCTATGGTGCAGTGCTGAGTCTATGGTGCAGTGTTGAGTCTATGGTGCAGTGTTGAGTCTATGGTGCAGTGTTGAGTCTATGGTGCAGTGTTGAGTCTATGGTGCAGTGCTGACTCTACAGTGCAGTGCTGAGTCTATGGGTAGCAGTGCTGAGTCTATGGTGCAGTGTTGAGTCTATGGTGCAGTGTTGGTAGTGTTGAGTCTATGGTGCAGTGTTGAGTCTATGGTACAGTGTTGAGTCTATGGTGCAGTGCTGAGTTTATGGTGCAGTGTTGAGTCTATGGTGCAGTGCTGAATCTATGGTGCAGTGCTGAGTCTATGGTGCAGTGTTGAGTCTATGGTGCAGTGTTGAGTCTATGGTGCAGTGCTGAGTCTATGGTGCAGTGCTGAGTCTATGGTGTAGTGCTGAGTCTATGGTGCAGTGTTGAGTCTATGGGCAGTGTTGAGTCTATGGTCCAGTGTTGAGTCTATGGTGCAGTGTTGAGTCTATGGTGCAGTGCTGAGTCTATGGTGCAGTGCTGAGTCTATGGTGCAGTGTTGAGTCTATGGTGCAGTGCTGAGTCTATGGTGCAGTGCTGCGTCTATGGTGCAGTGTTGAGTCTATGGTGCAGTGCTGAGTCTATGGTGCAGTGTTGAGTCTATGGTGCAGTGTTGAGTCTATGGTGCAGTGCTGAGTCTATGGTGCAGTGTTGAGTCTACGGTGCAGAGTTGAGTCTATGGTGCAGTGCTGAGTCTATAGTGCAGTGCTGAGTCTATGGTGCAGTGCTGAGTTTATGGTGTAGTGCTGAGTCTATGGTGCAGTGCTGAGTCTATGGTGTAGTGCTGAGTCCAAGTGGTTGCGGAGTGACGCGAGTTTGAGCTGTCCTCACCGGAAGTTTAAGATCGCCACTTGCACGAACCGAGACCCGAGGCTCTGATAGCAGCTGGTGAGCTGTGGAACGTGGGGGGGTGGAGGTGGTGGGTGGAGTGGTGGTGGGGGGGGGGGGGGAGTAGTGGGGGGGGGGGAAGAGCCGTGTCATCAAAGCAATCGTTTATTTCATTATCGTTGGGTCACGGGAAGAGAGCCATCGCAGATGACGAGAGGGAGGTCATGGTTCTCTCGTCGGCTATGGTGTATAGTGTAGTGTATAGTGTAGTGTGTAGTGTAGTGTGCAGTGTAGTGTAGTGTGTGGTGTTAGTGTAGTGTGTGGTGTGTAGTGTATAGTGTAGTGTGTGGTGTGTAGTGTAGTGTGTGGTGTATAGTGTAGTGTGTGGTGTGTAGTGTATATTGTAGTGTAGTTTGTGGTGTGTAGTGTAATTTGTGGTGTGTAGTGTATAGTGTAGTGTATTGTGTTTATTGTAGTGTATAGTGGTGTAGTGTATAGTGTAGTGTAGTGTGTGGTGTATAGTGGAGTGTGGTGTATAGCATAGTGTAGTGTGTGGTGTGTAGTGTATAGTGTAGTGTAGTGTGTGGTGTATGGTGTAGTTTGGTGTCTAGTGCGGTGTATAGTGTAGTGTATAGTGTAGTGTATAGTGTAGTGTATAGTGTAGTGTATAGTGCAGTGTATAGTGTAGTGTTTAGTGTGGTGTATAGTGTTTTTTATAATAGTGTAGTGTATTGTGTAGTGCAGTGCCTAGTAGAGTAGTGTAGTGTTCATTCGTGTCGTGTACAGTGTAGTGTATTTTAGGGCATAGTGTAGTGTGTATAGTGTAGTATATTGTGTAGTGTGGTTTATAGTGGAGTGTATTCTAGTGTATAGTGTCGTTGTAGTGACATAAGAAGGGAGGGGCTGCTGGGGGCTCTGGGTTCCCAGGTGGGTCCAGACGCTTAATCCTCTGGGCGCCAGGCGCTGGGTTCCCAGGGGGTCCAGACGCTTAAGCATCTGGGCGCCAGGCGTTGGGTTCCCAGGCGCTTAAGCCTTTTTGGCGCCGCCAACGGGGGGGGGGCTGTGTGCGCTCTGTGGGATGTCTGGTGGCGCACACGGCCCCACCCCTCGTTAGACCAGGCATAAAAGGAGAGCTCCCTGGACGATCAGGGCCCAGTTGTAACTCAAGACCCAAGACCCACGACCAGCCATCTGAAGACCCTGGGATGCTGCGAGAGCCAGCGCTGGGACTCTGGAACTCCCGACTCTGGAACTCCCGACTCTACGACCTTGTGAGGGCGAGTTCCAGAGCGTAGCCAGAGTAGAGTATCTAGGCTGTGTGTCTAGGCTGTGTAGCTAGGCTGTAACAGAGTATCAGGACTGTTGGAGAGTTGGAGTACTGTTGGAGTGTTGTATTGTAATAAAGAAGTACATCTACAAGTGTCTCCGGAACCCGTTACATCGTGTAAAGTAGTATATAGTCGTTTAGTGTCGTGTCATGTATAGTGTTGTGTATAGTCCCATCGGTGAGCTCCTCCGGCAGGTATGTAGCCCGCATGCCCAGCCACCGCATGCCAAAACAGCTTTTGTTCGGCCTGATAGAGGGGACTAAACGGGCGCAGCACGGGCTAGATAAGAGATGGAGTAATGTGGTACAGGAGGACGTGGAGCTGAGTGGACTTGCCGATGACCGGTACCAGTGTTGTCAAGATCGGCCTCTGTGGAGGAGACTCGTGAAGGACGCTACTGGGCAGTTGGAGGCAGTCGCCCTCCAAAAACAGCGGAGGGCAGAGGAGCGACGCTCACAACAACGAGCGGAGCGCCGGGTGGCTAAAGCACAGCAAGTTGGTACAGTAGGGGGCACAGGTGGTGCATCAGCCAGTCGTCTCGGTCATCTCAGTCGACCCGTGGCACCTGCTGGGTCTGCCCCGTGACCTCCTGCCAGCGGGCGTTCGACACTTCACGTGGCCTCAAGGTGCACATGGCCTGGCACAAGCGCCGTGGTGACGTCACCGTCACTTAGTGGCGAATGGCGGTTATTGTATAGTGTATAGTAGTACAATGTATAGTAGTGTAGTGTATAGTGTGTAGTGTATCTTGTGTAGTGTATCGAGTGTTGTGTATCGTAGAGTAGTGTGGTGTACAGTGTCAATTTTAGTGTAGTGTCGTATTGTTTCTGGATGAGTATGGGTCTCTCTCTATGTATCTCTATGGGTCTTTATGAATATGGGTCTCCGTGGATCTGTATGGGTCTCTATGAGTATTGGCCTCTGTGGGTCTCTATGAGTATGGGTCTCTATGGGTCTGTATGAGCATGGGCAGAGCCGGCCCAGCCACTAAGCGACCCTTGCAATTGCAAAGAGCCCCATGGCCAGCAGAGGGCCCCCTAGAGTCACTGCTAGCTAGTGGGTGAAAAAAATCATACATCAAAGGGGCCTCCAACCAAATTTTGCTTAGGACCCCCAAAGGTCTAGGGCCGGTTCTGAGCATGGGTCTCTGTGGGTCTGTATGGGTCTCTATGAGAACGGGTCTCTGTGGGTCTCTATGGGTCTCTATGAGTATGGGTCTCTGTGGGTCTGTATGGGTCTTTATGAGTACGGGTCTCTGTGGGTCTGTATGGGTCTCTGTGATTATGGGTCTAAGTGGGTCTCTATGGGTCTCTGTGAGTATGGGTCTCTGTGGGTCTGTATGGGTCTCTATGAGTATGGGTCTATGTGGGTCTCTATGGGTCTCTATGAGTATGGGTCTCTGTGCGTCTGTATGGGTCTGTATGAGTATGAGTCTCTGTGGGTCTGTATGGGTCTCTATGAGTATGGGTCTAAGTGGGTCTCTATGGGTCTCTATGAGTACGGGTCTCTGTGGGTCTCTATGGGTCTCTATGAGCATGGGTATCTGTGGGTCTGTATGGGTCTCTGTGAGTATGGATCTCTGTGGGTCTCTATGGGTATCTATGAGTATGGGTCTCTGTGGGTCTGTATGGGTCTCTATGAATATGGATCTCTGTGGGTCTCTATGGGTATCTATTAGTATGGGTCTCTGTGGGTCTCGATGGGTCTCTATGAGTATGGGTCTCTGTGGGTCTCGATGGGTCTCTATGAGTACGGGTCTCTGTGGGTCTGTATGGGTCTCTATGAGTATGGGTCTCTGTGGGTCTGTATGAGTCTCTATGTGTATGGGTCTCTGTGGGTCTGTATGGGTCTCTGCGAGTATGGGTCTCTGTGGGTCTCTATGAGTATGGGTCTCTGTGGGTCTGCATGGGTCTCTATGAGTATGGGTCTCTGTGGGTCTGTATGGGTCTCTATGAGTACGGGTCTCTGTGGATCTCTATGGGTCTCTATGAGTATGGGTATCTGTGGGTCTCTATGCGTCTCTATGAGTATGGGTCTCTGTGGGTCTGTATGGGTCTCTCTGAGCATGGGTCTCTGTGGGTCTGTATGAGTCTCTATGAGTATGGATCTCTGTGGGTCTCTATGTGTATGGGTCTCTGTGGGTCTGTATGGGTCTCTGCGAGTATGGGTCTCTGTGGGTGTCTATGAGTATGGGTCTCTGTGGGTCTGCATGGGTCTCTATGAGTATGGGTCTCTGTGGGTCTGTATGGGTCTCTATGAGTACGGGTCTCTGTGGGTCTCTATGGGTCTCTATGAGTATGGGTATCTGTGGGTCTCTATGCATCTCTATGAGTATGGGTCTCTGTGGGTCTGTATGGGTCTCTCTGAGCATGGGTCTCTGTGGGTCTGTATGAGTCTCTATGAGTATGGGTCTCTGTGGGTCTCTATGAGTATGGGTCTCTGTGGGTCTCTATGAGTATGGGTCTCTGTGGGTCTGTATGGGTCTCTCTGAGCATCGGTCTCTGTGGGTCTGTATGAGTCTCTATGAGTATGGGTCTCTGTGGGTCTCTATGGGTCTCTATGAGTATGGGTCTCTATGAGTATGCATCTCTATTGGTCTCTGTTAGTTTGGGTCTCTGTGGGTCTGTATGTGTCTCTCTGAGCATAAGTCTCTGTGGGCCTGTATGGGTCTGGTCAAATGACAAGTGAAGTGAGTTTATACTTTGCCGTTGTGAGATGTCTTACACTGGGTAGGAGCCTGTTGGACATGGTCCTGTAATCCAGCGAGTTTGGGTCACTCAGGGCAGAGTTGAAGACTTCATTGATTGTCAGCGTCACTGGGACCACCTTGAGGTCTGTGGGAGACAAAGACAAAGATTACCATTACAGCCTCTACCAGACTGTAGGGGAAAGTGCTGTTAGTGGTACTGAGTAGCGGAACAGACACACACACAGACACACTCAAATATAAACAACGATCCCCCTGGATAGCCTCGAACAGACTATTGGGGCAAGTGCTGTTAGCGAGCACCTATGAAGGCCAGAACAGCGCATGAAGGCATGGGTAGCCAGCAATTACACTCGGTCGCATATGTCTCCACAGTGGCGATGTTTACACACCGCACCAGGTATTCATTTGAAGCTGAGTCGACCTAGGGGAGGCCTACGACCGGTTCAGATAATCGTCACTGGTGGTGTTGGCCGTGAGCGGGAATCGAACTTGGGTCTCTTACTGGGTTCGTAGCGCTAACCACTCCTCCACCTATTCCCACTAACACGCACCAACTAATACAAGCGCACATACACACACTCATCCACACGTACAAACTCCACTCACTCACTCTGTAGAACAGGGGGAGATCATCCAAACTTCACTCACTCACTCTGTAGAACAGGGGCAGATCATACAAACTCCACTCCACTCACTCTGTAGAACAGGGGGAGATCATACAAACTATACTCACTCACTCTGTAGAACAAGGGGAGATCATACAAACTCCACTCACTCAATTTGTAGAACAGGGGGAGATCATACAAACTCCACTCCACTCCCTCTGTAGAATAAGGGGAGATCATACAAACTTCACTCACTCACTCTGTAGCACAGTGGAAGATCATACAAACTCCACTCACTAACTCTGTAGAACAGGGGGAGATCATAAAAACTCCATCCACTCATTCTGTAGAACAGTGGGAGATCATACAAACTCCACTCACTCAATTTGTAGAACAGGGGGAGATCATACAAACTCCACTCCACTCCACTCACTCTGTAGAACAGGGGAAGATCATACAAACTCCACTCACTAACTCTGTAGAACAGGGGGAGATCATAACAACTCCATCCACTCACTCTGTAGAACAGTGGGAGATCATACAAACTCCACTCACTCACTCTGTAGGACATGGGAAGATCATA